TATATATGGCCGCTCAATTGCACAATCGTTAAAAATGCGTTATATATATATAATGCATTTTTAGCGATTCGAAGTAATATCGACGTTATAAACTGAACGAATTAAATTTAAATTTGGATCTACCACAAAACTTGGCGCTTAACATGGCGACCATAGATTACTGCATGGAGGTTAGAGAGACTAACCTCCATGGATTACTGTGTATGGGTAGTTCTCAACAAAATGATATTTTTCGCAAAAATATTACCAATTTTTTAAACCTTCATACAGGCTTAAAATATTATGCGTAGATAATTTTTTTTTGTTGATAGTAAACAGTTTTATCTAGGAGGCATTCGAAACTAGGCACTGGTTTAAGAAAAAAATGTCATTATTTAAAGTTTGCTGTTACCGAGAATGATAACTTGTGAGAATAATGACAATAGTGCAAAGGAGAATGATGCTATGTTACAAATAATGACAATTACATTAAGAATAATGAGACATATAATCAATAAATTGCATGATAATTGGTAATATTTTTTATTTTTATAAAATTTTATGAAAATAACATCTTCAGACATTTAAAAATTATAGAGTATCTATTAAGAACTTGTAACAATCTACATACTTTAAATCACATCTTTTGTTTTTAATCAAAATTAAAACTAACATTCGAATTCAAAGAAATTATAAAATTCTTACAATAATGAACAAAGCGAAAATTATTATATTAAGAGACTTTTTAAATCTTCTAAGACTGTTGTAACTTCTTTGGATTCGACAGTATACCTTTAGGAACAATTAAAAATCTCAATCAAAATTAACACACAAGTATCGATAAAAACAAACATAATCACGACTAAATAGAAATATAAGTCATTTAGTAAGAGTTGTGAAATTCTATCTAATAATCAAGCTGTCTTATAAACTTAAATTAGAATATGATAATTAGCCACAAAAAAAAAATAAGCCGAACAGAAAGACACTTTATTTATTTTGATGTTGATGGTTTGTTGATGTCGTCAAATTTTATTTTCTCAAGAATGGTCACATGAGGATGTTTAGAGATGCGTCCTCCAAGTTTTTTAGGTACATTGATCTCGTTTAACATTATATCAGAGAGAATTGTCACTTTCTTATTCCTGGTGTGATTAGATTTTGTCTTCGCAAGTAGTGTTAGATCAGATTCGACAAAGTTACATTCTAAGTTTTCTTTTAGCAACAGAGGTATGCATCCTAAATGTTTGTCATGTTCACAAATTTTTGAAGGACTGCAGTCAAAGCAGCTTAAGTTTCTTAGAGTAGTTTTTGGTTTAGACATATCCCACAATGCTTGCTAGACTGAAAAGGTGCCTCAAAATGGTTGTAGGTTATCTGGAATTAGGCTGGCTTTAAGTTGTATGTCACTATCCTCGACTTTTTTGACTATGACCTTTAATCTTTCATCTTCAATGTATTTCGTAATTAATTCGTAAAACTGATCGAATGACCCAACATCTTGTCCATACATGACCATTCGATCTGCCGTTATTTTTATAGTAGCACCAACACCCTCAGGTGCACCTTTTCCGTGACCAACTTCTGAATAGTTCCACGTTATTCTGTTCAGCTGCGGGAAGTCATTCTTTAACTGAGTTATTAGATAAAATATATAAGATGCTTCGGGGTAAATACGACATATTTTCTGATTAGTTGATACGATGCATATTTAATAATTATTTTTAAAAAATCTATCGAAGTTTACAACCAACTCATGTCACTTTTATTTATTGAAATACATATCCTAATTATTTTGTTATTCATCTTAATAAAATGTCTTTGCGTTGCGTAAATACAATCATTTAAAATTTTACATATTATTCTTCTGGATAAGGTGTAATTCCGATATAACGCGGGGTAAAACCGAAAATTTGGTAAAGTGTTCCTTTTGTTTAGATTTACTTTTCGTTCGTCTATACCCCTCTACAAAAAGCATTGATACATACTTTATGTTTCTAATTTAACTATATTTTGCTCACTTGAATTTTCGGAATTACCCCACATAAAGTCCAGTGGCTCTAAACATTTAAGGCACCACCACGGCAGCGCACCTTGCGTTCCCGTAGTTGGACAGTTATTAGGCTAGTTAAAGAGGTTTCTTCAAACTTTTATAACAGGTAAGCGAGAATAAAAAAAATATTTTATACATGTCTTCATGTATTTTTAATGAGTCAAAGTATCCGAAATCGGGATTTTTCAAACCTTTAAAAACTCATAACTGCGAAAATGTTACCTTTATTGTAAAATGTCATAGGACATTTTATATTTATAATTTGCCAAGAAATATAAAAAAATATTGTTCATACTTTATTCTTTTTCTTTATGCATTTCTAATGGGTCAAAAGTATCCGAAATTGGGATTTTTCAAGCCTTTAACAATTCATAGAAGATATTAACTTTATCGTAAAAAGTCACGGGACTTTTTTATTCATATTTTATTAAAGAATATAAAAAAATAGTCCCGTTTGAAAATAACAATTCAAGTTTAAACAATACCTACGGCACCGAGTTGTCTCATGGCAACATGCATTTATATCATCAGTACGACAATTTGAAGGGAATCGCATAAAAAAATTGATGTGCAATAGTTTTCGGTACTCATGCACCTATTCCTTCTGGACAATGTCTAAATATTTGGCATTGCGGTAGGTACGCCTTGCCCACTGCCGTTGGTTAAATTCGCGAACGTGTTAAATTTATCCAAAATAACAATTTATGCTGACGAAAGATTGACAGCCACTGGAAACTACAATGAAAAAGTAGTTCGATAGTCCATTAATTCGCAATTAACCCTATGGGGCATTTCCGAACAAAACACAAAAACAATAGCTGGCTAATCCTAACCTATAAAATAAAACTTTAAAAACGATTACCTATCATAGAATCAAACAATCATTAAGATTACTTAGCAAATTCCTAAGATAATGATCGCGGGGTACATAGGCTGCACTAAAAGTATCGGGAATGGAATATTTCCACTGTTCCTGTTATATTAAAATCTTTTTAATTGAAAACTCCTTGGTTTTGAAAATCGAATACCATTTATTTATTTTAAAAAAGATTCTCGGTCTTGTGAAGGTTTTATCAAACTTGTTTAGTCGTTGAGAAAATGGAATTGACTCGAGAAAATTCAAGAGCGATAATTTATTATGACTTTCGAAGTGGTTTAACACGAAAACAGTGTGTTGACCGGATGATTTCTGCATTTGGTGATGAAGCCCCATCCAAAACCACAATTTATCGCTGGTTTGCTGATTTTCAACGTGGACGTGTCAAGCTCAGTGATGATCCCCTTCAAGATCGTCCAAAAACTGCAGTCACCCAAGAAAACGTTGATGCTGTGCGTAAGCTGATTGAAGAAGATCGACATGTGACATACCGCGAAATTCAGGAAACTTTAGACATTCGCATGAGTCAAATACAAATAATCTTGCATGAACAATTAGGTGTAAAAAAGTTGTTTTACCGATGGATACCGCATTCGCTCTGTGAAGAGCAAAAAGCGGCTCGCGTTACTTGGTGCGTTAGAACTCTCGAAAGATTCCACGCAGGATCCTCAAATGCTGTATACAACATCGCATCAGGTGCCGAATCTTGGATATACGCGTACGAACCCGAAACAAAAAACCAGTCACGAGTTTGGGTGTTCGAAAATGAGTTAAAGCCAACAAAAATTGTTCGTTCACGGAGTGTTGCAAAAAAAATGGTGGCCACGTTTGTCTCCAAAACCGGCCATGTTACGACAATTCCTCTTGAGGGACAAAGAACGGTTAATGCAGAATGGTATTCTAGCATTTGTTTGCCACAGGTCGTTTCTGAACTCCGTAAAGAGAACTGCAACCGCCGCATCATCCTCCATCACGACAATGCGAGTTCTCACACCGCACACAGAACAAAAGAGTTTTTAGAGCATGAAAACATAGAATTATTAGACCATCTGCCGTACAGCCCCGACCTAAGCCCTAATGATTTCTATACTTTCCCTAAAATAAAGAATAAATTGCGTGGACAGAGATTTTCATCACCTAAAGAAGCTGTGGACGTCTACAAAACGACCATTTTGGAGACCCCAACTTCCGAACGGAATGGTTGCTTCAATGATTGGTTCCATCGTATGAAAAAATGTGTCAAATTTCGCGGAGAATACTTCGAAAAGCAATAAATACATATTTAAATAGTAATGTTGTGTCACTTCCTTAATTCCCGAAATTTTCCGTAAGTCCGAAAAACCGAAAAGAGTTAAAAAAGCTGCTTCCACCGAAAAGTTCACTTTGCACGCGCATTATTGAGACTAGCTAAATGTCCTCTAGAATAAAGTGACCAGAACAAAAAATATTGCCTAGTTAAGCCGTAATTTGTAAATATCGGAATTCCCCCATTTTCGTAATAATCCCAAAGCACCTTACTTATTTCTATACTGGGAGGATGGCGAATCCGACAAAAAATGTATGGTGTCAATAAACGGGTTTAATTTAATCACTTTTTCTATTAAAGATATCAAATGACCCCATACAGCTGCAGCATCATGATGTAAACAATCACTTATTGTGCACATGGAAGTTGCTCCAACTTGTCCATTAGAAAAATTATGTGTATAGATTGCAGTATGCAACGAAACCTGCTGCCTACTTCCACCAAAGTGGAATGACTGAACTTCTGCTCCATATTTCAAGGCATAATTTTCAGAAAAATCGACATGTACTAATGCTTCCTGAATATGTAGATTTTCTTTAAGATTCTTAATAGCTTTGTATTGGCTCATAATTTTATAGTTGTATTCAAAAAATTTTGCCAAACCTCTCTTGAATTTATCTAAAGCTTCTATCGTTGTAACTGTAATTTTAGTCTTTTCAATAATTGATTGTTTTTTGTTGTTTCCATTCGTAAGTGTTATTTCTTTTGTTACTTTTTCCATTCGTAAAAAGTGCAGTAATTCCTCGAAAGATCATTATATAGTATGTCAACGAGCTTTATCACTTTTATTGTATATTATGAGCCGCGATGATATTGAGCAATGTTTTCCTTTTTCTTAATTTTACGTGGCGAACTGTTCTTATAGCAGCTGCAGCATCAGGCTTATTCTGTTGCAACGGATATCCTCCAAGATCATGCGTTGAAGTGTTTTCACCTTGAATACTGCAAACAGCAATGGATTCAAAATTTGGCGGCTTTGCTTGTTTTTTGTTTTGTCGGTACCTATAAAAATGTCATGTTATTTTTGTTTTATAGGATAAGGGTGACAAACGAGCACACAGTCCACCTGATGGTAAGTTACTTTCTGCGGCCCATAAACATCTACATCTATCCTCTATTACAAATCAAAATGCATTGAAAATATAGTTGTAAGTATAAAATCAAACTGAACCTTTTAGAATTTTCTTTCCACTTCTTTCTTTGCTCTTTTTGACTGCGCGGCGCTTTTTCCGAAATACTTGTTATTTTTTTTGCTTCCTTATCTTTTAAATACTTTATTCTTCTCTTTTCTTTCGCAAGAGCTAGTAAATACGGGTCATTTTTAATTTCTGCATACCGACTACGTTTGCAAAGTCTTTGTTGAGCTAGTCTTTCTTCTTTAGTTTTTCTTTCCAGAGGCATTTTGGAATATTTAAATTACAAACAATAGCACTAGCACAGTTGTGTGTAGTTTTATTTCTTAACTAATAAAGTAACTGATAAGTACCTGCAACAATATAATTTGGTTATTACACACTATTTTGTTTGAGAGGATTTGAGATGAGCAGGAACTTCATTGTAAGTATCGGTCATAATTATGATCAAAGAGTGTTTTAAGATTACCTAATTTTGTGACTAGTTCTCAAGAAATTTCATTTTCCTAGCTTAATTTTTTTCATAGCGTACGTTTAATGGTAAGACTCTTTCTTCGTTGTCGTCAGAGTCACTCATTATTGGCACAAAGTCTAAACATTCATCTAAACTTGAATCGCTCCGAAAAATCCTTATAATATTTAGAATTTGAGGATACAAATTTGATCGTTTTTCGATGGGAACTCTTTCCAATTCAAAAGCTACAAGCATCGCAAAATTTTCATTTCACTGATCTAAGGGACGCTCATCGTGAAAGTCCACTTTGTGCAATATATCGGTTATGATCGAAAACGTAGTTTTATCAATGTGTTTACGATAGATCATGGCATCTATTATCTTTTCATTGATGGTTTGAGTGCCAACTTCTTTTTTCGTTGAAATATCGCCTCTTTTTTTTTAAATAGCTGTCCAGATAAAATTGAGGGCGAAGTTGATCTCTTCCTCTGCATGGTTATTATTATTACTTATTATCTGTAATCAATAACAAGATCCAGCTTAGAACAAATTTACGACAAATTTAGTTTTGAAATACAAATATAAACAACCTAACAATTAACAGACGTAACTTACCAAATTTTCTCAAAATCTGGCTGGAACTAAAATCTAAAGAAACGCTTTCGTTTTGTGAATATTTTAAATTATTGGAAAACTGTCTATACATCAAACATCGCCCAGCTCATCACATCTGCACATCAATCGAAATAATCAAAATCATTATTCTAATCAGTAATCATTGTCGTCTAATTACAACATCATTGTTCACAACGTGCGTCATTGTCTTCTCCGCCATTTTTGCTGACAATGACGTTGTCAATAATGATATATTCATAAAAATTATGTCGAAACATGTTAAAAAACGTATAATCGGAAAACATTGTTATGGTCGATGAACAGTTACTCAAAAGGTAACTTAATTATCTTATTAAGATTATAGAATCAATCCTGACTTCAAAGTTAGGGTTAAAAAAACAAATGACGATTGAAATGACACAATTAGGAGAATTAAATTCAAAACTCACCAGTTCGAAATCCAACACGTGTGTCCCGTGCAACGGCTGCCGGTCGAATGAGGGGCAGGGCAGTTGCCAGATAACTTAAAACACAACGAAACAAATAGTCAAATAGTTCCCAGTCATGGTATTTTATTAAACAATATATGGAGCGACAATGACGCAAATTTTGAGAACATTTTTTGATATATTTTTTTATTGATTTTCAGCCATATTTTTAAAATGTTTTATTGTGATAAAGCTGAATTATATCAATGTCAAGCTCGAGATAATAAAATAATTTAATATTAATTCAATAATATTTTTTTATGTGAGAAAGTTGCTGAGAACTACGTAAAGCGACATGCAAAATAGTGGAATTTTTGATAGTTTTTTCTTGAAATCTTTTTTTTGTTACTTCTCCGTGAACGTGACTAAGATTGATTTTTAAGTAATCATTTAAATATATAAAACAAAATTCTTTAAAAAAAATACTAAGCCATTGATGAGTATTATCGCGAGACACAAATTTCTAGCCTCTAGAATATTCACCCAGGTATATCTCTATAGTTAGGTGTCGTGTTTTTGTTATTTTTTGCAGTAAATAACCGTCATCGTTATGCTGAAAGTGATTAAAAGTGCTGGCAGGGGTATTATCTTGAAGGTCAAACGTGCTTGTGAAGAAGAATGAGACAATAACGAGCCCACATTACCGTTTTCCAGAGTTAGAGCTCGTGTTGCATATTTGACAGGTAATTTTTAGGTCTGCCATAACAATGAAACTCCCCAATTTTTTCGGTTCGTTATTTGTTTTTAGTTATCCTTGTTTCATTAATATCAAGTATTTATAATGCATATAAAGCATTGTTTTTATTTTGTTTTAGGCGATTCTGAACACAGTCACCCAAAATACTCAAGAGGGTAATGTAACAGCTGCTTCATCTTCTAATATTGTTACGCCGGGAAAAACGAGGAGCCGGAGTATGATATAATTTAGACAATTTTGATATGTGCGCTACCACTTAAGCCATTTATAAAACAGTGCAGCTAAACAGTGTTCTAATAATTCAAGAAATAAAAATAAGATACACGGGATTACTTACCACTCATAATTATAGCTAAAAATTTTATTTTGTTGAAAATTATAATGATGTTTATTGTTGACTTCCCCATGTTTGCGAGAGCGAGATAGATAATACAAACATGCGCGAGAGACACGATACGCGATTTCGCTCGCACAACTACAACGTTTCCTATCTCTGTCCTTGTCTATCGGTAAATTTAATTTTGTGATTATGATAACAGATTGTGTGAACATTCAGTTTTCTTCACACTGCTTGTTTCGACGGCTATCTCTCTTTCTGCACGTATTCGACTCTCGAAGTGGGCGGTGTTTTGTAATAGTAAGCTCTATTACAATGCTTATAGATATGAAATATGCATGTCAATATATGTAGCCAGATTTTTGAATTTTGTTGACATTATTTTTTTAGTCTCCATTGAAATGCGCTTTGCATAGTTCTAGTTAAACGTATTTAGTAGTTTTCTAAATTGAGAGATTAACTAAAATATAATTATTCATAGTATTAAGTTCTAAGTGTTAATAGTGAATAGTATAAACAGGAATAGTGGTACTTAGGTATTTAATTGGTCAAATAGTGTAAATATTAACTATGTTGGCGTCGGCCCGTAAAAACAGTACAGTGATATGGCACCATTTTGAATAAGACAATAAAACTTTTAAGCAACGTGTAATGAATGTAAAGATGTATAAATCGTCCACCGCCAGTTTAAAAAATCATCTGTGAAAAAACATCCATCGGTTTATATATCGGTGTTCGGAGCTGATGATGACCAATCCGGTCCTTCATCCCGACCAACGACACGTTTAGATGTAAACAAAACAGCGAACTGATAACGGCGTTTTGTCTTAGCTCAGGTTGGTTTTTAACCTTTCTAATATTTTTTTCCGAAATATAAGAATTTCACCCAACCTAGGTGATCAGTCAGTGTACCGTACAAGGTAGATATAAGTTAGATGAATAACTAATTTTATTTCTAGAAAATTAGTATTGATGTCCAACGTCCACGACAGCGAAATATGATAGTAGGTACGAACGGGACATATTATGCAAAAATACCGATACGAGTACAAAAACAAACATAAAAACAAAATATTTATCTTCGTACTGACTAATTTAGTTACCATTAAACAAATACAGCAATTGTTAATGGAATATTTTCCAACAAATTATTGTGTGTATTTTATTTAATTCTGACCTAGAGATTTAGATTGAATTCATGCTATGCCAGGAAGTTGTCGAGTTCCCACTAACCCTGTATAATATGGTTTTTAACGGGAGAGTAAATTAATTAGATTTTTGTGTTTGATTAATAAACATCGTTTCATAAATTCGTACCTATGTTTTATTCAGCTAAAACATACCTTATAATTATCGCTTACCTAAAATTTACAAATACTTCCATAATCAAATTAATAACTTAAGTATATCGGAAATGATAACAGGAGATCCCACTTCTGATGTCTGAGATTACAATAGAGGATCGCAATTTTGATCTCTGAGATACATCAGGATAGCGTTAGTTGTTAAAAATAATAAAAGTGTGAGAGCGGGTGTTCAACTTGCTCTCTTGCTTACGCAGTTTAATCATTATCAGTAATAAGACAACGTAACGCACTATACATTCAGTATAGTGAAATTACAGTTCCACCACACCGTAACACGTCTCTGCCACAATCACACACCAGTGTAACGTGAGGTACGTAATTACATGATAACACCAAAACATGTAAACCAACAGCAACACTACTTATCTCAATGTAACACTGGGCAGCTTCTCAGCAACACCAATTCTCCTTGCCTGCACTAGAAGAATTACAACAACGAACAGAACCACGACACTATCTTAGCACTAGTCGAATGACCACACTTTTTGAATGACTTAAGCGGAATCTCTCCTCACGGCACCTACAGTGAACTTTATACTACAGACACAAGAGGGGGTTTCTCGATATACCCTCCATTCTACCTCGATCCAATCGGGTATTTTATAGACGCTCCGATAAGTATAATAACGCATAGGCGTCAATTTTACGCTTGGCATAATGGGCATTGAGCGATACGCGCGCTCTATACCTTGCTTATTTGTACTCTAATTTCTGTTGAATTTAAACTCTCTCTTTATCTATTGTTCTAAGGGGTCCCTTAATTAAATTAAATTATTATATACTCTTTGGAGGGGTTCTTAGTAATAAATCCATTTGGATTTTTCGGGTTTTGAAGAGTTAAGGCAATTAATTCAATTGTCTTGCATCGTGTAGAAAGAGATTTATACCATAAATAAACTTTGTTTGGAATTGAAAGCTGACATTGATTTCAATATGGCAGAACATCGTTAAGGAGTATTTTAAATATTATAAATACAAAAAGTGCAATTCTAAACGAAAATTATTAATAGAAAGTAGAGATATTGGAGAGCAGAATATAATCTAAGACTGCGCTAGGTATTCAATAAAAGACTTACAAAGTGTCCACATACAAGTGTCTGGTGGACTATTAATTTCGTTCCTTATAATAAATATTATAATGCTATTTCAGTTCCACTTACACACACGAACTTTTTGCAATGTATCGAACAAAAATAGATTGACTCTCAAATTGGTATGTAAAATACTACTAATTTAATATAAATCGGTAAGTAATGAAAATGTGGCTTGTTATGAATGGATTGATTAGGATAATTTTATTGAATATTGTT